GCCTTTGTGAATCCACCCAGAGCCATTCCAGCCCCCTGGGACAAGTTCCAGCAGGAGTTCTGCTTCCTCCTACACGCTGCCGAGGGCCGGGAGCTGGTCTGGCCTGGGCCCTTGCGCTCTCGGTGCCGATACCCATCCCACTCCCGTGTTGTAAGCGTCCAGCCGGATGGCGACTGACTCTTGGCTTGGAGACTGTCAGAGGCAGGATCAGGCCCACGGGACCTGGTGCTGAGCCCTGATCGCTTTGGAGGTGGAAAATCCCTGTTGCCGGCCGACCTGGTGGTGGTTTGTTCCCATAGCTCTCCCCGAGCCCGTTTGGCTCGGCCTGGAGACACAGCAGGGAACATCCTACCCCTGTCGGAGGTTACGGCGCTGGGCTCCCCGGGCCCCTTGGCACGTCCTCCAAGACTGGATTTGTCCTGGAGCCTGTCGAGGTGCTTATGCCGAGCGCTCTGGTGCATAACATTCCCTAACCTGGGGCCTCCGCCTTTTTGTGTAACGCTCCGCAGGTTGGAAATGCCCAAAGACGAGCTGCCAAACCACAACTGCATCAAGCATTTAAGGTCTGTGGTGCAGCAGCAGCAGACGAGAATCGCTGAGCTGGAGAAGACCTCGGCGGAGCACAAGCACCAGCTGGCCGAGCAGGTAGGTGCGGGGCTGCCTCGCAGCGGGGTCTCCCGTGGGAAGGGGTGGCCTCACCCACTCGGACACCAAACACCCAAAAAAGGGTTGGGGGATGAAGGTTGGGGGCGCTGCGGCTGTTGTGCACCGTCGCTGCCGGGGCGGTAGCTGAGCCGCGGCGCTGGGCTCTGCTCTCGTGACGCGTAGCCGCGGTGCCGACTCCCTCTTTGCCGACCCCGCCGTGTCCTGCCTCTCGCAGAAACGGGACATTCAGTTGCTGAAGGCCTACATGCGCGCCATCCGCAGCGTCAACCCCAACCTGCAGAACCTGGAGGAGACCATCGAGTACAACGAAATCCTGGAGTAAGTGCCGGTTCTCCTGCCCGTCGGGAGGAGCTGGGGAGCCCTGCGTTGGGGCGCCGGCGGAGCCGGGAGCCTGCCGGCTCGGCTGATGGATGTGGGGGGCGGGTGACGCGCCTGCCGAGGCACACCTGAGCAGAAAGCATCTCACAAAAGCGAGGGGGCAGTTGGGGGGTGCTGGTGCTGGCGGGCAGCATGCAAGCTCCTCATACGGGGGGGCCGGGCCGCTCCTATTCTTCCACCTGCATCCTGCCCACAAGCAGGAAGCTGCCGGATTCCTTCCTCCCTCTGAAAGGCCGGATTCCCCCCGCAGCTTCTCATCCCCTCCCCTTCCCCTCCCTCTGGGGAGCAGCAGAGCCGAGTCCGCAGCTGGGTCCTGTTTGGGGCTAAAAACGGGGGGGTAGGGGAGCGGAGGCATTCCCGATCCAGCCTCGCTCCCGAGCGCGGCGCGGACCAGCGCCTCCCATCTGGTGGGAACCACCAAAACCACGCGCGGTGCTGACCGCTTGTCCCCTCTCTGTCCCCAGGTGGGTGAACTCCCTGCAGCCGGCCCGGGTGACGCGGTGGGGTGGCATGATCTCCACGCCGGACGCGGTGCTGCAAGCCGTCATCAAGCGCTCGCTGGGGGGGGGGGGC